GCTGAGACCCCCCCCCCCCGCCTCCCTCTCCAGCTGCCATTTTACATTCCCCTCCAGCAGAGCAGAACTAAATACTCCACAACCCACCCCCCCCAAAAAAAAAAAAGAGAAATGCAGTCAGTATAGTCACTAATTCACCACAGCTAGTCTAGAAAAAACATCTTCCAAGGGATGAGGAGCAGATTTCCACCTCAGCTCTTCCCTAACAAACAGATTGCTGCACGGCCATTAGTGTCAGAAATGAAATACTCTTTTATTACTTTCCCTTCTCCTGCCTGCCCAAGTTTGCCTTAGTTACTTGCCTGATTGAACTCCAGAGTGGCATTTCCAAAGTCGCTGGTATTGTTCCAAATAGGTCATCCTCAGCAAAAAAATTCCCCACCGTGCTTTCCAAAAACCACATGCCACACTGCGAAAAAAAAAATGTCCCTGTCCCCGTTTAACTTTCTGCTCTTGCTCCACATGACTAGAATAGAAAGCTATGTGCGGGATGGAGATATGTATTTCTTGTTTGGTGCCATCTGATTTGAGGCTTTATTTGTATGGAAAAAAAAAAAAATGTAACTGCCTGGGTGCTTTCTAGTTTGAATGAGGCGAAACGTGGCTGCCTGACAGACGCGCGCACCAAGCTGTTCGGTTTTCTAGAGCAGAAAACGGATTTCAGGTGCTGACTCATAAGGATGCATTTCTACCAGGGGAATTTCTGATCCATTTTCTTCAAGGATTTTCAGCCTTTTATTTTGGCTTGACCTTAATATTGCCCTCTTACCCGCTAGGATTTCATAACCCAGCATTTGTATCGGTGGCTGTTTCTCAGGAAAAGGATAAAGCTTGCATTACAGGTATCTTCCCTAGCTTAATGCATATAAACTAAATGCGAATGTATTGATTTCTGAAGACACCAAATCATTTGCCAAAGACCCCAGCTTACAGCTTCCAAGTAAGCATGTGCTTTATGCTTCTTTTTCTTTCTTCTTTTTTTTTCCCCCTTTGTGCCACCTTTTTGTCTCTTCCATTTTCTTCCTGTCTTTGCTGCAGCCTGACCCTCTGGTCAATAGGGAAAGGATGGCCCTTGCCCCTGCTCTATGAAATGGTGCCTTCTGGCCCCCTTGCCCTCTTCCCACCACAGAACAGCAACTTGCCTAACCTGACTTCAGTTTTCTAATTCAGTGCAAAGCCTGGTGAAAATACTTGCTTAACCAGTGTGTCCCCAGCACTGCTCCCCACTTGGCCAGGGGTCACCCCCATGGTTCCTCTGCCCCACCACCACCACCCTGGCTTCTAATTCAGCCACAAAACCACCCCCAGGCAAAGGTGGTGCAAAGCAAGTGCACTGGACTCACGATGTAGCAGCAGCAAACTGTTTGCTTGGGAACTGATAACCTTGGGCCAAGGACAGAGCGAGCAGCTGGAGGAGGGTGCAAACCTCTGAAGTGGCTGTCATTAGCTCCACCAGGCTTCTTGTGTCAGCTGGCTGCACCCTGAGCAAGGCATGGGAGACATCAGCTCAAGTGAGCACCTTATGAACACAGATGCCCTTTGGGCAGCTTTCCAGCCCCAGGGCTGGGATCAAGCAGCTGTGCTTTGGCACAGGGACTTGCGGCACAGACACCTTTGAGCATCTGATGGGTGCAGTGATGGGCTGGGTTCCTGCCTCTGCTTGGCCTCCCACACCCCAAGGGTGCCCCATTATCTGGCACCGTCCTCCCAGCCCATGCACCGCAGGGCTGTCAGCTGCCAGCCCTGCCAGTAATTGCTCTCTTCTTCCTCCCATTAAATAAATAAATAACTGTTCTCCAGCCAGCCCCCCTCCAGGTGAGAAACACAGCAGTGACAAGGGTGGTGGGACAGGAACAGACCACTCACAGGGCAGTGCTCATCCTATGTGCATAGGATCCTACTTTTTGGAGGTTTTTGTGGAGGAAGTAGGCTAAGCTAAAGATAAGAAAAGAGTTAGCTGAGCATACTGTGGAGGGAGAAAGACAGAAATTGCAAATTAAGCTTAATTAGCAGGAGACGTACCTTATGAATGTATTCAAGAATGCTTTTCCCTGTAGCTTTTCACAGCAGTGGAAGTGTGAACATGTATTTATACATGGGAGACTGATACAGGATGTTCTCTAAATACAAATCTCTGCCATTCCTTTTAGCTGCCCAATGCCAAATCCTACCTTTGTTTCCAATAGTTTGCTGCATCCACCCTGTCTGCACGTTCCTACCTGAGGGCTGCCACAGCCCCTCTGCTCAGGGGATGCTCTTTTATTCCTGGGCAGACTGTATCCCATCAGCATACTTAACTATTCCATTCTCATTAATGTAGGGTTGTCTAATCAATCTTTCACCTTTCCCTCTCATTTAACCTTCACTAATGTATTGAAGAACTGGTAGGTCCTTTTTTGCCCTCTTGAACAGAAATGTCACTAGTTTTGTTCTACTTCCACATAACCTTCTACATAACCTCCCTTGAATTATCATCTTCTTGGGCTCATTTTTTCTTCTGCATTGCTCATATAATGTTGGTGCTTCCGGGAAGGAGACATGCGTGCTGGGGTCCCAGTAACCTTACCCCCTCCCCTCTTCCTCATACCTTCTCCTTTAATTGCATTGTGACTTATGTCTGAGAACATCATATAGGGATAGGTTTGAATGGATTAATGAAAGACTGAGGCTTAGAAAGCCAGTTAGGGGCTTAGCTGCTCTCCCTAACTTTGGTGGGACCTCTGGGGCTTTAAAGGCTGTGGTACTGTAACACTGAGATGCCAAAGAGATTACTTTTTCTGCTAAAGCAGAACAAATACCCAATATCTACCAAGGTGACTTGTCACCAGGATTGCCATCAGGGTGACAGGTCACGTACCACTTGCATTGAAGCCATGCTACTCCCCCAGAAGGAGCAGTCACCAGCACCTTTCCCCCTTCCAAGAAGGGGCAGGGAACTGCATTTGCAAGCTCCAGACACTGCCTGGAAAATTCACATTGCTCGCAGTGTGTGTTCAGTCTTCCAGAAGATCACCATCCTTAGAGCTCCTGGCCTCAGCTCTAGCTGGAGGCTAGAAGAGCTGCACAGCCCGGTGCCAGGGTTAGCAGGAGGGTCCACGCCTGGGCTGGTCCAGAGGATGGTGTGTGGGAGGCCATACTCTGTAAACCCTGCTGCAGAGACATTGCTGCAGCAGCTGTATCTGCACCAGGGATGTGACACGAGCCGCCTGCACATGAGCGAACTGCCCTGGAATGAGCTGTGCCCAAGCGAGAGCAGCCGACCAGGGAAGCAGCAGCGCAAGCTCTGCCGAGTGACTGCATGAGTCACTGGCTGTGCTAAATCAAATACAAGAGATTTGATTTTCCATTTGGGAGGATTATATAATCATCATTAATTAAGCTTCAATGAGAAAAGCGGGACTGTAACCTGACATGGAGACTCAGTAGTCGTTTGAGAGGTGGGGAGGTGGCCCACGGGCCACTCAGAAGAGGAAAGTGAAGTTCCCTCTTTGCTTCTATGAGAATTTTTTTTTGTTTGCAAATAGGAACTCCACGTATTTAAAACATATTTTATATTCTGGTCCTGTAGTCCAGTTTTTAATGAGAGAGATTAATATATGCAAACACCTGAGGGAGCTGAATGCCATCATTGTTCCTGTTGACCAGTAGTACCTAAGGGGCAGAGTCATATCAGCCTCACCAGTGAATAATGCAGTGGCTCCCATCCAGTTTTGCCTGAGGGCTGAGGGGGGAGGCAAGTAATAAAGGTAACCCTCAAAAAAATCCAAGGGAAATGCTGAGCTCCCAGTATAAAATGTCAAATTAAGGGAGAACAAATTATTTTACAAAGCCGCTTAATAGCAAACTCTGATAAGAAAAGATAAGCCAGGCTGGATTTATCCCTCCTGTGAAAATTGTTCATGCATTTGTAAACAGAAGAAGATCTCTTACGATTATATAAGCAAATATTGGCTTTGTTATCCTATTTCTGAGGTGACATACTTGCTTAAAAACTCCTTTAAGGTACAAAGCCAAAGTCCTGCCTTTTGAAGCGTTTATCAAAAGAAAAAAGGACCATCAGCACCTTTAGAGTGGCAGATCTGTCCTTTCATTCCAAATGCCTGAAGTTTTCCTCCTAAAGGAGGAGATAACCATTAAGTGAAAAGAGCTCCCAATCAAGTGATATAATCAAGTATTATAGTGGAATTTAAAATGATGCATTTTTTTTCCAAATTACATGGAAACTCAGGAAGTATCTGGTTACTGGGTGCTAACAATAGCAGATACTTTACTGTTAGCTGATTTATGTCTTAGAGATAAGAATAACCATCAAGAAAATTATTACACTGGGGAGAAAAAAACGTTTTCACTCCCAGAACAATTAATTCAATCTGAATTCCTTTTTAAAAGAAATAAACAGATTTATACAGAAGATACATTGATCTCGAGCCTCCATAAACATGCAGAAACATCTGATAACAAGAACAACTCAAACTGAAATGCATGTTTTGATCAGAACCGACAGCCGCATAATATTATTTACTATTAACAATATTGTGGAAGCAGCAGCTGGCAATCTGCAGCACTTATGCTGGGCTCTCCATGGGCACTTAAGAAAAAAGGCACCATTCCTGTCCTAAAGAATTTAGTTGGAATTCATATCAACGGAGGATGGCAAGGGGAGAAACAGGAGGAGGAAGGAGGAGAGTAGATCTAAGTAGATAAGTGATGTGTGGGTACTGTCACTAGCACTCCAAAGCTACTGAGTGCAGTCTGGCTTCCCACTAGCACTTTACATTTCTGCATTACATATATTAATTGCTGAATATTCTGTTTATCTGTGGTCTGAATTTATCCATGTGAAACAATCTTGATTTGGCTTGTAATTTTTGAAATCACTGTTCAGTTTGTTTGACAGTCACTAAGATGGGTTCTTTGGACATTAACATCTCTGGACAAAATGGGAAGGAGGGATTTCTTTCAAATGGCATTGGCATAAATGAGAAGTTTGCTGGTATAGGAAGAATGTTTTCAACATGCTAAGTTAAAATAAGATGTCTGAGCAACTGACTGCTGTACTATTGCTAATTGGATAATATGGCATCTGGATTTTTTAAAGCGTTTTTATTCTTTTCATGTGGCATGATTTATATCCCTAAGAATAAAAATCTTTTTATCTTTGGTAGTTAAGGGCGTGGTTCCCTAGATGTATTACTTATTTTTAGCATTCTCTCCTTAGTGTCCTAGTTTGTTGTTTTTTTAAAAAAAAAAAACAAAAAACCAGAACTGACCAACAACAACAAAGTCCTTGTGTATAGGAAAATCAGTTTCTCTGTATCTTTTTATATTATATTTGCAGATTATTCAATAGTTCTTCTACAAAAGAATTTGGTGTTAGCTCTAGGAGCAGTAGCTCTGATAGGTAATGTCAAAAACTATTAAAATTCCTGATGTGCTCTAGGTGATCCTGCTCTGGCAGGGAGGTTGGACTAGATGATCTTTTGAGGTCCCTTCCAACCCCTAAGATACTGTGATTCTGGGATTCTTTGTGAAATACATGAGACAACTGTTTCACCCCTCTGATTATGTATTTAGCTTCATCACACAAACTTCTAGTTTCCTACTCAAGATACTCTGTCTATATCTTTTAATTGTGAAACACACATTTAAATAAGCCACCCATTTATAGCCAGCTTAACATTTTCATCAGGTGCCTTCTGATAAAAGCACTCCAAGATCTGTATTTGACTTACGTTAATATCGACATAGCTTCATACTTCATCTTACATTTGTCATGCCACTACTTTTCTGTGGTGCTCTCAGAAAGTTAGCTACTTTGCCACTTCAAGATGTTGAGTGTTTCTTTTAAAGGGACTTGGAAAATTATAAAGAAGGCATGCTTAAAAGATTATACCAGGATTCTTTTAAATGAAAAAAATAATGTAATTATTTCCTTTTTTAACACTACTTTTAAATTTATCAACAACAAAAAAAAAATGTTTAAATGTGCTGACCAGATGTAGGAGCAGAGCAAAACAAGCAATGCAGATAGAGCTGTGGAAAGAGCAGATCCCAACAAAGCAAGTCAGGCAGCAAAATAATTCAGAAACAAATGTGGGATTTTTTTCTTTCAGTTATTGCAGTTGTTCTTTTCAGATCAAGGTGTATATTTCAAGGTGGTGGCTAGTTGCCTGCATCATCGAGGCTTTTAGTGCATTGGGCTTTGTGATGGAAGCCTAAGTATGGAGATGACACAGTAGCTTTTTGAAGTTTGGATGAGTTTCAGCCAGGCCAGCTCTATCTCATCTCCTTGGACTCATTCACTGCCACTCAGTTCAACATTCTCTCACTCTCGACTTCCTTCTGCAACTGGTGTCATTTGCAAGCCCGTGGGTTCAATAACTAGGTTAATCTGTGCTTCGGAGGCTGACTGCTCTTATCTTATTTTCAAATCTTAAAGCTCACCCTGCAAACATTTGCTACTGAACTTGGCTATTACAGAGAGGACTGGGCACATTGACTTCAAGTATGACAACATATTACGTCATAAGCCTGGAAATAACTTTTGACAGTGCCTTTCCTGTAGGTTTCTAGCAAAACCATTAATTTTTATCAGAACTGACTACAGAAATGGACAGACTTGCACATAATAATCATATCACAGAAGAACCAATAACTCTTTACTCAGGCTTTGCCTGTTCCCTGCAGCTCCTACCTCTTTCTTCTTTTTTTCCAGCTCTTGTATTAATAATCCCATAGAAGCCCTCCTATATGCACATAACCTCAGGAGCAGAACAGAAATACGTCTTCCTAGGAAGTCCCTAGAGCAAGTGTGCTTTGCTGGTGAAAGAAGAAGAATTTTGCCCATATTTTTTATTTCAATATGCAGCCAGCCATACCCTCCAGACTCAACTGCAAAAGAGGGCTGTAATCTCTGCAGATGTTCACATCTGCTTTGCTTTCACAGATGAGGAATCTTTCTTCCTTTTTTGGCACAATATACATTGTGTACACAATGGCCTAAACATGATAATCACAGGTGTGAATTCTGCTCAGAGTACATATTTTTTTTGTCTCAGCCTTGTTACCCTTGTTTTCAGCTATGTAACATCATTCTAAGGTTTTTAACAGGTTGAACTGGGTTCCAAAAGCACCCATTTTGAGACTTCTTCCATCTCTGCAATTTATGCTAGTGAACTAAAGCCCAGTACAGAAGCATCCCAGCATAAAAACTGCTAGTTACCTCTTACCCAGAGAGATACAAAACTCTTTATTTTCACAGGAATGGATGTGGTTATCCTTGCTCTGTCCTGTGCAGAAGAGACAAACTGTAGGAAACTTCATGAAGCTAGATATAGGGGCCTAATAGTAAGAAAAGGTAGTTTCACATTAGCATTAATCCCTATTAGCATTAAATTAACTCATATTGGAGAAGTCTGGCTGCTAGATGAGACCTTCTCTGCTTCCATGGGAGAGAGTTGGCTTGGCAGGGTGGGAGCCCATGAGGCCAACCCAGTTCCCACTGCAGCTAAGCACACAGTTTTCTTTCACTGCTGTGGGAGCAGGATTTCCATCTCTAAACAGCTCTAATTTGGATGAAGAATTTGCATTAGGTCATTCTAACATGGGACTCTGGGCTAGCTTATGGCAGCACGTTTTTTTGGCAATGCATCTCTGGGCAGGAGGTGCTAGTGGGCCCTCAAAGCAACACAAGAGTCATGTGATCACATAAGATGCAGATTTAAAAAACATACACAATATCTGTAGCCACATCACATCCAGGTTTCTGTTCTGCCCAGTGTTTCAGGGGACAGCAAGCTCTCTGTGGACTCACCAGAAGTGCCCAGCTCTGGAAGCCAGTGCTGTACATGGGGTCCTCTTTGCTCTTCCATAAAACAAGGAGAACTTGAGCACTCTGGGGACGGTTCTCCTTTGATGCAGAAGGGGAAGGCACAGTTCAGCCACCTCTTGCTAGCTCAATTAAGCCTCACTTGCTGTAAGCCCTATTGTTTTGCCACTGATGACTCAATGAACTCTCTTCGTTTACCTCTCTTGCCAACAGTTTTTTCACTGCCTCTTAGCAGTTAGGGCACTAGGCATGCTGCAGCATGTATTTTTTTTCTTGTGAGTGGTGAAAAAGAGCGATTGGATGCATGGGGTTTCTTTCCCGAAAGCTGGTTCATGCTCTGCAGTAAGGTTTGGTCTTATTTTTATCAGGATTAACCTGTAAGATTCATACTTGAAATTAAGCTCTGATGTCTTTCTGCCTAACATGACTAACTTGGATTTGAATATATGCATATCAGCTTTAAAAGCTTTTAGAGCACTTCTATGAATATAATTAGTATTAGTATGATTCAAGTGTGCAAAATATGTGGGGAGAGCAAATCTCGCATGAGGTTTGACTCCGGGTCCCATTTTTTTCCCCTACCTAGTGCCTAACTCCACTTGCAATGGCTTTGATGAGGCTGTCCCAAGGGCTTACAGAACATCCCCGGGAAAGCAGGTCTGCTTCGTTGCGACTGTTCGTTTGGCAACGCCTCAGTTTTTAAAGGTAAGTGCATGTCCTGGATCCCATTCATTTTGGAAGTTCTCAAAACACTTACAGATGTGATGACACACTAAGTTCTTAATTTTGCTAATTGAATGCATCAAAGATATCACATTTCATGCATAAAAATCCAGTGAAGAGGGTTAGCAGTGCAAGCCAGGGTCTACAGAAATGGTGTCACTTCTGCCCCCCTTGCACAGGCAACAGAAACCCTCATTGCATTAGGAATTGCAAAGCCACTTTGAGATTGGGTCCTTTGTTGCTGCTTCAGGGTGATTGCTGCTAGTTTTTCTCCTCCCAGATCTTGGTAGTAATATAGTTGCTTCTGGAAATAAGGATAGACCAGCCAACCCTGGCACTGTGGTTCTCTTATTAACAAATGTGAGCTACTGCATCAGGCATCCTCAGAGGTTAAGAGATTAAAAAGTCTAATTGAGACCTAGCTGGTATGAAATCACTGCTCCTTTGGCCTGACTCCATTACTGCTCAGGGACCTGCAGGGCACTCTTGACTGATTCACGGCCCTGGCAGGCAAGTAGAGTGTCCTCTGGGTAGGTGTGGACACTTCCCATAAATCTTAACCTCAGTAATCACATTAGCAGTAGACGCTGGAGTTGAAGTTCTCCAGGAACTCTGAAAGCAAATTCTCTTGTCTTTGGGTAAATGACATCTCAGAATTAACAGGGAAACAAAACGGGCTGCACATGGCAATGAGCTGCACAGTCCCAAGGGGAAAAAGGTGCTAGCTGCCAGGAAACCCTGGGCATCTATCTCTTCATTTTACCTGGGTGACTCCTTTAACACTTGGTCTTGACTTTTTCCTCTAAAATGAAGGCAAAAACATTTATCTGACTGGCTAAGCAGGGTAGAGAGCCTTTTGGTTGCACAGAGCGATGTTAGCATGTTGCACCTTAAATTTTAGGATATGTTCTTTGCACCAGCATGGGCTTTGGTGTAAACTGGAGGAGGGGAGAGAGGAGTTTGAGGTATGCATGAAGCCTTTTGCCACTGTACCATCAGCAACTTTAATCAAGCTTATGAGCATTGATATGTTTCAAATAAACGCTTGATGGCAGCGCACCTTGGCTGTTCCTCTGGTCCAAAGAGGGTTTAAAACTCTGACAGTCTGAAACACTTTTCTTCTAGAGACTGAGAAATGAAAGAGATGTGGTGGTGGAGATGATGGGAGGGTGTCACTGAGTCCACAGCACAGGAGGATGTGGCACCAGGGAGCAGGGGGACAGCAGCAAGCTGTCCTTACCAGTGGCAGTGGAGACCCTCCTGCAGGAGAAACTTGGGGAACACAATAGCCCTAGATGACACCAAATCCTGAGTGCTGATGCTGGCAAGTCCTATCCAGGGGTCTCTAGGCTGACAGCTCTTGCAGCTGCCCTTGCAAGCCATCAGTGGGAGAGGAGAGGTCAGCAGAGGGGAGCTGGGAGCAGGCTGGGAGCCAGCCATGGGGCATGCAGCCAGCCCCTGCCCAGGCATGGGCATGCGCCCTTCCCACTGCCACCCAACAGCTAAACCCTGCCAACTATGTCCTGATCCCCATCCCTCTGGGCCAAGGATGTCCTGCCTCACAGACAGCCCTGTGTCCTGCTTTGTATCACTTATTAATTATCATTCTTCTGAGTGTTGAGTCAAGGGAAAACTGTTGGAAATGAAGCGCAAGGCAAAATGACCACTTTTTAGACGCCTGCCTGGAAAGGCATTTCCCCCTCCACAAGGCATAGTACCCACAGCTACTGAGTGGAAAGGAGAGTGTCCCCCTTTCTGACAGAGGGCTCGGAGGCAGACATCCAAAAGGGCTGGGCAAGGGCAGTGGGTATCTTAAGTAAAAGAAGAGAGCAGCGAAAGACGTGGCAAACCCAAGTGGTACCAAACAAAGGCTGGATGCTGGGCAAGCTGTATTGCTCAGGGCCATAGAGAGCATAGCCCTCACACCATGGGCACTGTATCAAAGCCATAAAAACTTTGGGACCCCATGAAACAGTCACGGCTCTTAGGTCTGTGTGCATCACAAGCTATTCTCCCCAGCTCCTGCCAAAATGTTTGCATTGATAAAAACTATAGATGATTCTCTGGAATTGCACAGAAAATGTGTGAACCCTCTGTTTTCTGTTCTTACACACCATGTATTTCTAGCTAAAAAAAGCTAGATGAAGCAGAGGGGTGAAGCTGGAACTCTCAGTAAATTGGTTTTATTCACCATGCAGGAGATGTGCATCGTGGAAGAACCTCTAGAGGAATTCACATCAAGACACAGCCTGGAGTGGAAATTTTTATTCCTAGATCACAGGTTGGTGACAAGAAAGGCACTCCTGGTTGTGTTCAGTGCTTCCTACTGCTATTTCTGTAAGTGCAATTCTCTCAAACAGTGTCACGTTTCTCATATAAACAGGAGAGCAAGCACTGAAATTCCTACAAAAGATGGTATTTACTGTTTTACCTTGCATTTATTTTTATCAGTCTTTTAAAACAAAACTACTCTGTTTCTCAGGCTGAATTTGTTCTTGTTCCCTTTAAAAATATCAATGGACCAAAGCCTGTCACATGGCAAAATCATCTCATTATTATACAGCTGTGGAAATTATTCTTTCCAAATCCAGCCATTGGTTGTGTGTTTGCAATTCCCACCAAATTACAGACGGAAAGTCTGTGCTGGCCTGAGGCAACTGTGCTGGCAAAGATACAAAGCAGCCACCTCAGCACACCATAGATGAACTCTGCAGCCACCCAGAAGGAAGTGGTACAGATTATCTCCCCTCCTGCCCCCCTAGTCCCAGCAGACAATGGCTTCCCATCACCTCACCATGCATGTCCACCTACCTTCAGAAGCCACAGCAGAGCCCCTGCCCAAGGAACAGCCAGGGAATGGCACCCTCACAGCTGGTCCTTGTGTGAAGGTCCCTGAAAAGTTGAGCTGCTTTCCAAAACCAGATTTTCCCTGGAAAGATGGGTTTGCCATGGCTTTGTCCTAGGGGGACAGTGTCTGCCAGCACTACTGTGCCCAACTGGTCCTCCCAGGCACAGGGCAGGAGAAAAGTCATGATCTGGTCCCCGGATGGGGACGACTGTACACCAGTGAGTGAGAACCAATCTGGGCCTTTTACGTATTCCTGTCAACATGCAAAACTGCTGTTTCTTTTGTGGTGTATGAATTGACTCCTATTGTGCCCAACCGCAGAGCACCGCCGATTATCGGATACTTGCCTTTTGAAGTGCTGGGTACTTCTGGCTACGACTATTACCATATAGACGACCTAGAGCTGCTAGCAAGGTGCCACGAGCACTGTAAGTATCACCCAGACCAGGTTCCTGTGGAGTCACTGGGAGACCACTTCTCAGTGAAATGTAATTTCAGTTAAAATTGGTTTAAATTTGGAAGGGGAGGTTTGAACCTTGCATCATGCCTGTCTATCTTAGTGGAGTTATAGCAGACTGGGTGCACCATACATACTCAGTGTCTGGACCAGACTTACTGAGCTCTGAAAAGAGCAGTTTTTACCCTCTGTATACCAAGAAGCAGTCAGCAAGACTCACTGAATGGATAAATTTTGTCAGATTAGACCCCTGCTCTATTAGTAAGAATATGCAGCAATAGTTCAAGCAATCTCAGAGGAAATAATATTTTATAAAACTCTTTCAGATTATTTACCCTAATGTTGTTCATCATGTATTTGGGTTTACCTGTGATTGCTTAAATACAGTCTATTAAGATTTAATTGAAAAACTCTTTCACTGTGTAAAGAAAAAAAGGCAATCCTTTTAAAATATTTGTTTACAGAACTGGCTGGAACATCTCAGCTTACTACCTCTGGGTAGCCCAAAAATATCCCATCAACATTAGTTTTCATATGTTGACATTAAAATACAGAAAGGCTAAATATGTGCATTTTGGAGAATCCCTTGAAATCTCTGGGGAAAAAAAAGCAGAGATTAATTTTTATGGTGAATCTTTAAAACCTTCAATACACTTCAGTTTTCTGCACTTTAAATTCTTGTCAGTCTGAGAACTTAATAGAATCATAGAATGGTTTGGGTTGGAAGGGACCTTAAAGATCATCTTGTTCCAACCCCCCTGCATGGGCAGGGACACCTCCCACTAGATCAGCTTGCTCAAAGTCCCATCCAGCCTGTCCCTGAACACTTCCAGGGATGGGGCTTCCACAAGTTCCCTGGGCAGCTTGTTCCAGCACCTCACCACCCTCATACTAAAGGATTTCCTCCTAATATCTAACCTAAATCTCCCCTCTTCCAGTTTTAATCCATTACCCCTTGTCCTCTCATTACAAGCCCTTGTAAAAAGTCCCTCCCCAGCTTTCCTGTAGCCCCTTCAGGTACTGGAAGGCCTCTGTGAGGTTTTCCTGGAGCCTTCTCTTCTCCAGGCTGAACAGCCCCAACTCCCTCAGCCTGTCTTCATAGCAGAGGTGCTCCAGGCCTCTGATCATCTCTGTGGCCCTTCTCTGGACTTGCTCCAAGAGCTCCATGTGCTTTTTATGCTGGGGGTTCCAGAATTGGACACAATGCTCCAGGTGGGGTCTCACAAGAGCTGATTAAATGGAATCACCTCCCTTGACCTGCTGGCCACGCTTCTTTTGATGCAGCCCAGGACACAGTTGGCTTTCTGGGCTGCAAGCACAGGCTGCTGGCTCATGTTGAGCTTCTTGTCCACCATCACTCCTAAGTCCTTCTTCTCCAGACTGTTTTCGATCTTCACCCAGCCTGTGTTAGGGCTTGGGATTGACTCAATCCAGGTGCAGAACTTTCCATTTGGCTTTGTTGAACTTCATGCAGTTTGCCCAAGCCCTCTTTCCTTTCAGTTTCAAATTGGTTTTGTGTCTGCACCATGTTATCTCCAATACTCACTTCATTCTGAATCTATCTGCACACAACACTCATCTTTTCAAGCATTTTTATCCTGTACTTTTCTGTTATAGAACTTAAGATGATCAATCCTAGAAATTAATCCCAGGTGCCTAATAAAGCCGTATGTAATTAGCACATAAACCAGGGTAAGATTGATGTTTAAACTGTAGCAGACACTAATGCATTAGTGTCCAAAGTTAAGGTTAATTGTACTGTGTAAGAATGTACCATTCAAAGTGTCAGCAGAAGAAGATACCTGTGTTTATGACTTTTGCTTTATAATAAGACTGGTAGAATCACTCACTCAAAAGGTGCTCAGACTCCTATTTCCCTTGGGAATTGATGGGCCACAGATACTTTTGTCACTCTTTTCACATTTCATGTCATTTTTACATTACAAATTGTGCTACAAGCTGTGTGTATTTTCTGCTGGCAGTGATGCAATTTGGCAAGGGGAAGTCGTGCTGCTATCGGTTTCTGACCAAAGGACAGCAGTGGATCTGGCTCCAAACCCATTATTATATCACCTACCACCAGTGGAACTCCAAGCCAGAGTTCATTGTGTGCACACACATGGTTGTAAGGTATGGAAAATCATATCCATCAGTGGGGACATAAAGGACAGTAAAATAAGGGCATCCTCATGGCTGCCAAAATTTTCTCATAGAAACATGACATTTTTAATGTAATAAAATTGAAGACTCAACTCTCTGAGAGAACTATGTTCCTTATAGAAAAAATGATCAGACTAAATCTTACTTTATGCTATGTTTGATTTGTCAGTCATGAGTTTAGGCGCAGATTAACTGTTGCATTTTTCCATTTTGTGCAAAAATAAGGAATAGATAGATCCCTTAACTATTCACTTCCTCTAATCTTTATGTTGTTTTTAAAGAGATACATGTGTGGAAGCTTTCCAGTTAAGTCATAAAGTGGTTGTAGAATGTGAACTTGACTTTATATATCCTTCTTTAATATTCTTTTAGACTTCCAGAAGATAGGAACAGGACAAAACCTGAAAACGAAAAGTCTCTCAAATGTTATTCAGTAGCATTTGACTTAAGTGATTCTTCAGCTGCTGGTTTAACCTGTAAAATGTTACTATAATGTGTTCCTCCACTTGCTTAAAGCACATTTTATGTAATATAACAATATCATATTGATACATAGAATTATATATTTTCCATTCAGTTATGCAGATGTTCGGGTGGAGAGGAGACAGGAGATGGGCTTGGAAGAAGTGTCCTCAGAGGTTGTGTCCTCAGCACTAAAGGTACAATGAGAAAAGATTTTTTCATTAATATATGTAGTAATCACAACTTGTTCCTGTGTTAACATCACTGAAGACTCCAGGACTGTCTGGGTGGATTCCCCCTACTTCAGAATTCATTACTCACTTGAGTAATTTTAAAGTAAATTGGATAAGCTCATGAAAGGATAAACCTGGAGATCAGTAACAGACATAAATTAAGTGGAACATGGGCAGGGGCAATATGAGATATCTCCACCTTGCCTTGGCAAGGTACTACAGTTGAAAGATTCATTTGGACATGTTCTGGCAATCAGCCTTCTTGGCTACATCTAGGTGATCTGCTGAGGGGTGAAAGAAAAGCTGCTCCTTAGTGCATGGCTGAGGTTCTCACAGAGGCTGCATTTGCTGTCACATCCAACTGAATGCAAAAGAAAGATTCAGAAAAACACCTGAAGGCACAAAATGACCATGGCAGTAGCTGGCTATCATTGGTAGCTCTTTGAAAAATGCATTAGTTGGATGCTACTTGGAAGAGGCATTAACACGTGTGCCCAGGTCTTCTGTTGGCCTACCTGGGATTAGTTCTGCTGAAGTCATTGCAGGCCAGCCGAAGAACTGGGTATGTAGCCATTACTAAAAGCATTTCAAAATGTTTCTACCCTGACAGATGTATTAGCTATTCCTTTTTTGATTTGTTTGTTTGTTTTAGGACAGCGGCTCCAGCTTGGATCCTGAACAGCACTTTAATGCACTCGATATTGGTGCCTCAATCCTCAGCACTAGTCGGACACCTTCAGTGTCGTCCAGGAGCTCACCAAAATCTTCCCACACACCCAAGTCGGACCCAGCATGTGAGTGGCATCCCTGAGTTACTGCACTATTTTTAATTCAGCCAAGTTACAGAATGTGTGCCTATATTCCACAGCTGCTAATTTAACAGTTATTTATGAGGTATTGATGATGTGTGTTTGTCATTGACAATTAAATGCATAATCTGAAATGGTAACGTACAAGAGGGAAGGTTCTAGCGCAACCACCCATACACTGGAAAATGAGTCCTGGGACTAGCCATGAGTCCTGCTGTTTCAATCTGTTATGAAAATGAGGACTTCTGTCTTCAGATTTCAGAGCATCAGTATGAGCAATACGAAGCCTCTCTAGACTTACAAGAGTAGTAAGGGCCTGTGCGTGATTCTCTTCTGGCCAAGATTCAGGATGCTCCAGCCAAGAACTGCTGGGCACACCTTGACACTGTTTCTGCTCCCCAATCTGGAAGAAGAGCCAATGAGCTAAATTTACAGTTACATGGCTCATATAAAGGGAGTTCCAGCTGTTTTAGAACAGCTCTTGGGTCCTTTTGCTCCATTCATTGGAGCACAGAATCATAATCTGTCTCATTTACTTTTATCTTTGCCTTCCTTATCAGTTTAATTGTAGTGCCATTGAAGTCAACAAGAACAGCCTTGACTCCCTCTGGAATTTAGCCAGGCTGTAAGCATTTCTAGCCAGGTCTTGTTGCGAGTCCCATTTAAAACGAGGATGGTTTCCAGTATGTGAGAACTCACCAGTACTTTTCTTGCAGCTACACCAACAAAGCTGATAGCAGAGTCTAACACTCCCTTGCCAAGAACACCAAGCGCGCAGCAGGATTTATCCGTGCACAGACTCAGTCAACCTACTGCTCTTCAGGTAACTTCACACAGAGTCATCAAAGTAGGCCAACAGTATAAAGCATGTGCCACATACACAGCTCAGCAATTAAAAATTACTTGCACAAAAGCCAGGGCATTAGAAGAAACCTAACATTTAAAGGAGCTAAACTCATAAATAAATTTCAGTTTAGTTAAGCTTTGTTTTGTTTTGTTTTTAACCCAGGTTTCTTTGTCTTCTCAGCCTCCATGTGAGCTTCTCCCACAGCAGTTGCTGCCTCCAACAACTCTGCAAAATCAGCCTGCACCTCTCGCACAGGTTAGCTGGGGATTTGGAAATTGAATAGGTCACTTGTCTATCTCTGGGTATTTTCTGCTTTCATCTAATTAATAGATTGATTAATAGGGTCCAGGTCTTTCAGGGCTTTTAGGTTTTCACTTTGGTAGCTAAAATCCCAGAGCCAGCTCTCAAATGCTTAAAATATTACAAGCAAGTAATCTGAATTGTACACTTGTGTGTTTAAACATGTATCTGCCTACAGATACTCAGAGCAGAAGTCCATGTGTGTGTAGGCTCAGGTGCACTCACATCTATTTCACAGGAGGACAAAAAGCAGATGGTAAGAGTTTTCAACTTTGCTGCTACAGAATCAGGTCCCATCAAAATCAAAGTCACAATGAGAATTTAAACCAAAAACAAAGACACCCAGTTCTCCTAAAAACACCTTTTTGGCTGTGCTGATGCAGAACGAACCAGCAGTAAAGGATATGCAAGTTCAACAAAACCTTTTATTTTTTGAGTGTGCCAGTAAAGATGAGGATGCCACTGGAGACAAATTTCTGCAGTGAAATCTATTAACCCATACCTCAGTGTTTCATTTGCAGTGGATTTTTAAAGGAGCAAATCTGAGTACCATGTTCCTATCACATTGTCTCTCTCCTGTGTTCATGCTGTGATGATACACCCCCTCATCCTCTGATTTTAGAAATGACAGTGTATTCCTGGACCTAGGCTGGTTCCTGTACTGCCTCACAAAATTCCTTCTGTAGCATGTAAAACATATAAAGTCCTGAGGTTCCCTGTTTTAAAATAACAAATCCTCATTTATCTTCCATGTTTAATATTCTTTGCATGACTCCACACCAGCATGCAGCAAAGAAACAGCATATCAATTATCTGCTCAGAGCATTCATTTTCTTTTACAGATATTTCTCTCCGTTACTCATTATTGCACTTCCAAACCTCAATTAGTTTATTTATTATAAACCCATGTGTGTTTTGTTTGTTTTTTTTCTAACCCCCCCCCCCCCTCCTTTATTCTCCATCAAAGCTCTTGGTGAATAAATGCTTTCCAGTTGTTTACTGAGAGCCTCACTGCCTCTCCCCTTCCCAGTGAAATACTCTTACTGGGCATCCCAGCTCCATTTCTTCTCAGCCAAATCAAAGTGCCATCCAGTCACAGAGCCACTGGTTCAGCTACCTAAATCTCGGTGAAAGAAAGAGGGCTGAACTATAGGTCTGTCTACACAGGCAGCCCTCTTCTCAGCTGACATCAAAGTCTCAGCAGTGCTCCTGGCAAAGCTCAAGAGGGAGCTTCCCTTCATGTGGAGTAGGGAAATACCACCAGGATGTTGCAGATCAGGTTGCAGAGGCTCACACCCCATGGAGATACTCCTGGGAAAGGTATCAATTCTCCACAGACTTGGCTGATTTTCAGAAACTATTAATTGCTTTCTTCAATCACTAACCTCCCACCTTAAAATAATAAACTTGTCAGCCTACAGCAAGATGATCCATTATTTAAAAGACAAAGTGCCTGCAGCACTAAGCAAGTGAGGGACGGAACCCAGGTACACGTGCTTCCCGCCACGACTGTTTGCTCGGTTTCCTCGCTGAGCGTTCAGTGGCAGAACCCAAGCTCATTGCTTTTAGAAATAGCACGGCTGGGTGCCCTGCTGCCAGCCCACGAGGAGGGGCTGTGCAGGTTGCTCCCCACTGCCTTTCTGCCACTCTCCCTCAGCTGAAGATGACCGACGGCAGGAGCTGAAAGGCAGCTTGCCAAGCCCAGCCACGCAGGGTCCCAGCGCTCTGATGGGCATCCTTGGGGCTAACATGCAGCTCGGGGCAGCAGGGGCTGGGGAAGGACGTTTTAAGCAGCCACAATCACATCTGCAGCAAGCAGCTAGCTGCTGCCTCAGGCACCATCTGCCTGAACTTTGATTACTTTTATTTCAAGCAAAAGCTGTGATGGTTTTGCCTCTGCCAAAATGTGGTTTTAGCTTCTGCCTTGCTTGTCTGAATGAACAGCCAGCACAGCACTAGATGTCACCTGAATGTAAATGGTTTACTTTAAACCAAGTGCTCCCTATTAGAATATTTGTTTGTTTGCCTTCCTCATTGTAATAAATTAAAATCTCCTACAACACAGCGGATGCTGATGACTGAATAATAATTAGCACTAATAATCCATTTGCGATTACACAGGTGTTATGCAGAAGACAGAAAGAACAAACAAGTTGTTCAGTGAGCTGCAAAACTAATGAAACCTGGTTACCCAGGGGCTGCACTTTGCAAGGCTGGAGCACAGACCCAGCCTTTCCCCCAGGAGGAAAGTACAAGTGCATTCCTCTCTCTCTCCTTTGCTCAGCTATAGTTTCCATGAAATTACAGCAACCTGGTATTTTTGAGACTCTCGTGACTCGGTTGCATGTCTCTAGCATTGGCCAGAAGGATGGAGCAGAAGGATATAGAATGTTGGAAGACAGACAGAAAATAAAGGTTCGGTAGAGTCTCTTATTTACCCAGCTACTTGTTGTCATGAAACCTGTAGGAACGGCCTGTCTTTGAGGTGTATATCTTTTTGTTCATTGCATCTGAAACGAGGGACCATCCTGTAGGTCCTCTACCCTGCCTGCAGACCCCCAGCACCTAGCAAGAGGGAGTAGCCCTGGTGCCCTGTAGTGGCACTACATGGAGAAAAATGCTTCTTCTCAGGCACGTTCCAGACGGCCTGTTTCAGATGTCCATGTTAGTAGGGAGGAGGCACAGCAGTGCCAGTTCCTCTCCCTGGCCTGTACAGCCTGTCTGGACCCTCAGTGCTGGTGCATCAATCCTGGTGGATTGTTCCCATCCCTGGCTGAACACCTGCTGACACGATCCCAAAAGCATAACTTTTTAAAATTATTTTTCAATAAATCAGATACAATTATTACATTAAAAAACCTTGATTAAACTGGTGATCCACTGCAATTATATATATCTCACAGGTTTAGTCTTCCACGTTTGCCTATATGTGGGAAGCTGGCACTTCTCTGTGGGTAACATGGACTTCCCTGAGGATCCTACGGAAGTTTGTAAATACCCAAGTGAGACAGACAGCTCGTTCATCTGATGCAAAGGGCAGAGTTAAAGCTGTGCAGTGTTTTATGTGAAATATTTTTAGTTAAGCTCTTCTAATTTATTATCAAATTACAGATTTCTTCCCTAATTAGTAAAGCAGTGAATGATCTAGAGATAAATACTTTCTGGTGCAGGTCAATTGCTGTTAGTGGTTCATTGTACAAAAACAATAGAAGCTCTGTAATCACAGGGGTCATGGCTAGAGTTATCAACAAATTTGGGGGCTAGAGGGAAAGGGAAAAAAGGAAGAAAGTTCCTTGTCTTCTTCTGGTAATGGTTTTCACTGACGTAGACCAGCTAATTGTTATTAAGTGTATTAATACAAAAAGCACATGAATAAGAGAATAAAAAGACAATACTAAATAAGCATGGTAAATATATGCAGGTGCTGTACAAAAACAATAGAAGCTCTGTAATCACAGGGGTCATGGCTAGAGTTATCAACAAATTTGGGGGCTAGAGGGAAAGGGAAAAAAGGAAGAAAGTTCCTTGTCTTCTTCTGGTAATGGTTTTCACTGACGTAGACCAGCTAATTGTTATTAAGTGTATTAATACAAAAAGCACATGAATAAGAGAATAAAAAGACAATACTAAATAAGCATGGTAAAAATATGCAGGTGCTAAAAAAAAAAAAAATTAAGGAATAATTTTAACCAACAGCAGTACATTTTTGCATGCAACTTTGCAAAGCAAATTCAATTTCAAAACTAAGGCCTCAAGGGAGCCTTACAGGAAAGATGAAGAGAAACTTTTCACCAGAGAGGGCAGTGATAGGAAAAGGGGTAATGGTTTTAAACTGAAAGAGGGTAGATTTAAGTTAGACATCAGGAATACTATCTTCACCATGAGAGTAGTAAGGTGCTGGAATAGGTTGCCTGTGGAGGTTGTGGAAGGCCCCTCCCTCGAGGTGTCTAAGGCCAGGTTGGATGAGGCTTTGTGCAGCCTGGTCTAGTGGGAGGTGCCCCTGCTCATAGTAGGGAAGTTGGACCTTGATGATCTTTAAGGTCCCTGCCAACCTTAACCATTCTGTGATTCTATGGTTCTATGAAATGGATTTTGTTTCTTATGGAAATACAAAATCATTATAGGATTATCTGTTATAAAATTCCATATATTTATGAATTTAAGAAAATCCTGTTCCTTTCCCAAAATGTCTTGAAGGAGTTCATGTGTTCATGAAGACTGCCATCAGCAAGCCAGGCAGCTTTTGGCTACAAAAGTTTTTAATTCCTTTCTGGTAAGGACCCTTTTAAAGACCTAAGAATAGTCCTTACTAACAGAGTTGATATTGAGAGAAGTATATTGCAAGACTTCACTTTTTTAAAAACCCTATAAGGACCCAGCTTAAAGCAGGAATTATCTGCATCTCATGTAATCAAGCCATAGCTTCATAAAGTGGAGGGCAAATACCAGCAATGGGATGTGCCACCTTAGAAGCCCTCCTTCCTCCTAAGCAGGGCTGGCCATGAAACTCCCCTCTAAGTTGCTAAGTGAGGAAACTCTTTTAGTGGTGATCTGGATCACCAAGGAAAACCCCCTCCTCCTGGTAAATAGAAATATACCTTAGCCCTCATCCTTGCTCACCTAAAAGCCATTTACGTGGAGATTTCAGCTGCTTCCTGAAAGGAATGTGAAGGTATTTAATACATTTAGCTGGTTTAAGGCAAAGCAATTAGCTGACACGTATCTGAGCTGCCACAGTTAGATTTCTCCAACTACAGTGTTGCTAGCACCAGAGGTCTCCTTCCTTCATTCCCTTCTTGTTACCATTTCTGTTTTCTTATTAATAAGCCAGAAATGGTGTAAGCAAGTGCACCTCCATGGAACAGGAAGGCTTCAGCAGTGTGCATCAATTCTCCTCCTAGAGCAAAGCTGCTGAACAGTCACAGGAACAGGGCACCAGTTTCAAGTCACAGCAAAATTATTGGGTTTTGTTTGTCTGGGCACTCACAACACACCATGCTTTCAGAAAGGCCTTGGATGACTTGATTACAGAAACGTTTACAGACTTTGAAGTGTTGTCTGGTTTGGTTATTTAAATACTGTCTTTTTACTTTTGGAATATGAGCTCATGCAAAGTGAATGTTCCGAAGTTTATTAAAGTAATAATTAACTTGAGTGAACTTCGAATTGTATCCAAAAACACCAAATAAAACTAGTAGCTTATTGTGGTGTTTGTCCCCTCTGTGCTTATTGAATTATTCAATTTTGTGCCAAGTATTGCTGCTACTGGAGGCTGCAGCTTCTTCTTGACCCTGAATAGTGGTGTCCATTTAATATTATTATTATTTAGAATATCCTTTCTCCCATTGAGCTGAGCTGTTCTTTCTAGATCATGTATGAAAATAACCTAATGAGCATTTCTTGTAGCTTGACTACTACTCAGCTGTAGAAATCTAGAAAATGTTTTTCATGGTCAGCTGTTGCATGATGCTATAATAAGTCATCAGTAAAATAAACCATTGCAGCACTGCTATTTCTGTGCAGAAAAATGAAAGCATTAGTAAAACACATCCAGAATATACAGTTACGCCACACTAAGGGCTTAAAACTACAGGCTAATAAAAATAATGCACTCGTTTGCCATCCAGTTAAGATGGTTTTGAAATTTTTTAAGTAGCATACTCTCATAAACGGTCCTTCTGATAATTCCCTAACAGAATAGGGTCAGTTGTAAGCAGATCACTCTAACTGAGGCAATTTAATATATGTGCATAAAATTGAAAATAGACAAGATTTATCACTGCCTTGATGTTAGTATATTACAAGCAAGTCTTCTATTCCCTTGGCTGTACTTTACAATCAAGAAGCCAATAACTTCTTCCAGAACAATGTTCTACTGAGACCTGTTTGTATTGTAATGACTGATTCCCCACCTCCTCTTTTTTTTTAATTCAGTTCTCAGCACAGTTCAGCATGTTCCAAACCATAAAGGACCAGCTGGAGCAGCGGACCCGGATTCTGCAGGCCAACATCCGGTGGCAGCAGGAGGAGCTCCAGAAGATACAAGAGCAGCTCTGTCTGGTCCAGGACTCCAATGTACAGGTGCGTTACTGCAGGGAGGGGCAGAGCAAAGCATCCTCTTTCATATGGCCATGGATAGGGTTGGCAACTCAAAATTAGCTCCAGAGTCCAGGAAATCTGGACATGTGGAAACCAGCTCACCTGAATGAGGATGTTACCCTCTGAAAGCTTCTTGAGTAAGCTGTGTCAAGAAAGATTTAATAGCTTTCTGGAAAAAGAGACTTTAGGAGAAGAAATTGCATCATTTACAGCAACATTTTACTACTTTTATCTATTGAGTCTTCTGACTGAGCAGCTGTAATAGAAAAGTGTTCAAGTTGAGACTTGGCAACGATTATGTCTGTCCAGTTTATAAGCTTCTATCCAGTCACTGCTTGCCTTATGTTGGCATCACTCATGCTCAGTGTCTCACCTGCCCAGCTCTTCCTCTAGCCAATAGTCCTCCTTCCAACACTGCTCAGCTCTTTCATTCACTCCCTGCTTTCCTGACCCTACCCCAGACCAGATACAGAGCACAAGAGTTTAATTTCTTTGTCACGTTAAAAAAACCCCAAACTTCTGCTGGTGTTAATTTTTTCACACCTAGGAGGTGTCTGAATTTGTTCTTCACTGGACCAGCTTAAACCTTTAGGGTAAAGCTAACTGAGTCTGCTCTTCTTTTGCTTTTGATGCCTCCTGCAGAACTCACTAAGCACAGTATCTGCTTTTAATTCATTAAGTACAGTATCTCCTTTGTACCACCCCCCATATGTCTACCAAAGCTCAGAAATAATCACGAGTGCAGTTGAGTACATCACAGGTTTCACTTACTGACAAATAGACAAATCACCCAGTTTTATGGAAGTTTTCTAAATGCAGGGTCATTACTTCTATGTTCCTCATAATTTAACTAGAAATGCCAGGTTAAATGACCCTTGCTAGAAATGTTACACTGGGGACCCACTATGAGTTTCACTAGAGATGAGCCTAAGGATGGTCTTCACTCTGCCATCCAGTTGAGGTGGGAGATGGTGATACACGTGGCAACAAAAACACAAGGCTCACTAATAGGGTAGTAACCATGGAAGTGGCTGAGAAGGGTCAGATAGTAATTAGGACTTCTCTCCCCAGAATGGTGGCAGGATCGTTAGCCCAGCTGAAATATATCTACACCAATGCATGCAGCATGGGCAATAAACAGGAGGAGCTGGAGGCCACTGTGCAGCAAGAAAACTGCACATAGTTTGCCATCACAGAAACCTGGTGGGATGGCTCACATAACTGGAGTGCGGCAGTCAATGGCTACCAACTCTTCAAAAGGGATAGGAAGAAGAGGCAGTGGGGTGGCCCTCTATATTAGAGACACATATGAATGCCTAAAATCTAATGAAAGTGATGATAGGGTTAAGTCCCTATGGATAAGAATCAAGGGGAAGGCCAACAAGGGTGATAGAGTGGTTGGAGTCTGTTACAGACCAACCAACCAGGATGAGGAGGTGGATGAAATATTCTATAAGCAGTTGGGAGAGGTTTCACAATTGCTACCCCTTGTAGTCCCCTTGGGGAACTTCAACTTCCCAGATGTCTGCTGGAAATACAATACAGTAGAGAGAGAACAGTCCCAGAGGTTCCTGGAGTGCATGGAAGATAACTTCCTGATGCAGCTGGTGAGGGCGCCAACCAGGGAGGGTGTCCTTCTGGACTTGCTCCTTATGAAAAGAGGACTTGTGGGGGAATTAACTGTTGGAGAAAGTCTAGGACATAGTGACCATGAACTTCCAGAGTTTTAAATTCTTGGAGAAGTAAGGAGGGGAGTGAGTAAAACTGCCACCTTGGACTTCCAAAGAGCAGACTTTGATCTGTTCAGGAGACTGCTTGACAGAGCCCCTTGGGAGACTGTCATGAAAGGTAAAGGAGTGCAGAAAGGCTGGACATACTTCAAGAAAGTCTTAAAAGCCCAGGAGCAGGCTGCCCCCAAGTGCTGAAAGATGAGCCATTGGGGAATAAGACTGGCCTGGCTGAATAGCAAGATTTGGATGGAACTCAGGAAGAAAAGGAGAGCTTATGGCCTCTGGAAAAGAGGACAGACCTCTCATGAGGAATACAGAGAGGCACTAAGGCAATGCAGGGAGAAAGTTAGGAGGGCCAGAGACCAACTTGAACTCAACTTGGTTACTGCTGTCAAAGACAAAAAAAATATTTTGATAAATACATTAATGACAAAAGAAGGACTAGGAAGAATATCCATCCTTAACTGGATGCAAGGAGAAACTGAGTGACAAAGGATGAGGAAAAGGCTGAGGTGCTAAATGCCTTCTTTGCCTTAGTCTTTAGCATTCAAACTGATTGTTAAATCCAGCTGGTGGCCGATCACGAGTGATGTTCCCCAGGGCTTAGTGTTGGGACCACTTCTTTTTCAACAACCTTGATGAGGAGATAGAATGCACCCTCAACAGATTTGTAGACAACATCAAGTTGGGAGGGAGTGCTGATCTGCCTGAGGGTAGAGGGGCTCTGCAGAGAGACTTGGACAGACTGGACTGATAGGCCATGGTCAACTGTATGAAGTTCAACAAGGCCAAGTGCCAGGTCCTGCCCTTGGGCCACAACAACCCCATGCAAAGCTACAGGCTTGAGGAGGGGTGGCTGGAACGCTGTCCAGCAGAAAGGGACCTGAGGCTTCTGCTTGATAGGCTGAATATGAGCCAGCAGTGTGCCCCAGTGGCCAAGAAAGCCAATGGCATCCTGGCCTGTATTAGAAATAGTGTGGCAAGCAGGACCAGGGAGGCAATTGTCCCTCTGTACTCAGCATTTGTGAGGCCAAACCTCAAATACTGTGTCCAGTTTTGGGCACAGACATTGAGGTGCTGGAGCGTGTCCAAAGATGGGGAATGAAGCTGGTGAAGGGCCTTAAGAACAAGGCTTATGAAGAGCAGCTGAGGGAACTGGGACTGTTCAGTCTGTAGAAAAGGAGGCTGAGGGGAAAACCTCGTTGCCCTCTACAATTACCTGAAAGGACATTGTAAAGAGGAAGGAGCAGGTCTCTTCTCAGAAGGAACTGGTGATAGAACTAGAGGAAATGGTCTCAAACTGCACCAGGGGAGGTTTAGACTAGACATTAGGAAGAACTTTTTCTCTGGAAGGGTTGTCAGATGCTGGAACATGCTGCCTAGGGAGGTGGTTGAGTCACCATCCCTAGATGTATGTAAAAGTTGTCTAGATGTGGTGCTTGGGGATATGGCTTAGTGCTGGACTTGGGAGAGCAGGGTTAATGGTTGGACTCAATGATCTTGAAAGTCTTTTCCAACCTAAGTGATTCTGTGGTTCTATTGTACTAACAATTTTTCTTTCTGAAGACAAGCTCTGTCACAAAAATGGATGTGTCAAAGAACATTTTGAGCACAGGATGAAAATCTAGTACCTGCTGAAGTCAATGGGAATTTTGCTCTGAAATTCCACAGAAATAAATTCACCCATCATCAACATCTGTGAAATGCAGTTTCACATATTAAAACAAATTGAGATTGTATGTTTAGGCAATCAAGGCATCAGTGAAGCTGAATTAGAAACTTTGGCACCTAAGTTGCTGCATGTGCACTGCTGTAAGGCAGCAGAGCAATGGTGAGTCCCAAAACCAGGATGGCACCAGGAACTGGTGCCAAATAAGCACATAGGTAGAGATGGTTTAACTTCATTTCTTCTATTGGTTCTGTGCTGACTTTGATTAATGAGAAGGGAAAATCTCACTGCAATTAACTGGCCTTCAGTTCAAAATCATATCATATGTCTGAAAGCTATTATTGTTATTATGAATATCAAGAGACATTATATTCTCACTTCCACTCTTTTTAACTGGGTGAAACCCATTACTTTCTCCTGGTATGGTGTTCAATAATCACATACACTCATTATTTTAATTTTTTTTAATACTTCAGACAAAAAATGTAAGATCAGAGCACATTCTTAAACGCAGGAAACATTTTAGTTTTACATAGCTGTCCCCATATGCGCTATGATGCATTTAATAACCCAAAGACTGTGGGAAAGATTCTCAGACAGACTCATTGGGAACTCAAGCAGAGAGAACAGGAGGCCCAGCGGGCAAATGCTGGGTAGTTCTGTACCGCCCACCTCATACCAATTTGTAGCTCTGAGTTATGCCATTTGCATGATGCTTTTCCCAGTGAAGACCGTACCAGGTTAGACCAAGTATTTTCAGACCAGTACCAGTTCTCTAGTGTCAGTACCAACCATTTCCCAGCTTACTGCAGATGCAGAACTGAGAGGCAGCAGGACTGGAGGCCAGCTCGGAAATGCAGGGGCTGCATATCTGCCTGAAGGGGCAGTGCTGGATGGGGAGGATCGTCCTCTGTACTTCGAGTGCCTTTCAGTCTCCTCAGAGCAATCAATCAAGGTGATGCAATACGAGTAGCCACACGGACTCATGGCCAGGGCTTTTTCCTCCATGCACTTTCCCTAGGTTAAAAAAAACCTAAGAAATCACTTTGCTGTTGCAGGGATAGAGCAAGCCCAGGAATTAGCTTTGTCTTACCCTTGTGCTTTTTCATGCAGCACTTTTGTGACTCGCAAGCAGCTAGGAGTAAACTGTTAAATCAGAAATCCAACCACATGCTTTGCCACGCAGGTTTCATCATTCAGAGAGCTGTATGACTGCTGACATAGATCTGTCTCTATTATCAGAGCTACAAAGCAATGTAGCAAACAGGGGAGCGTTACTATCAAGCACCCTTCTGGTCTCTTTAATATTGCATGTAGCAGAGCAGTAAGCATGGGGGAGGGCTTGAGGCTACCTGAAAAGGGGGAATTGCTCTCCAATTTTCCCTTGTTAGCTGATTTATTAGCATATCATCCCCGCTAGTTTGTTCCCTTCCATATAGAACTGTACAGGTAGCTCTGCAGAGAATTAAGCCCAATTTCCATTTTCTTCAGAGATCTTCAAAACTGCAGCATGACAGTCCACCAAGAAACACTGTCCCAACTAGACAATGTTGAGCACGGTAGTCTGTGTTAGAAACTATTTCCAAGAGCCTTGCATGATGAAAGATGAAACTAGCAGGAGAGTTGTGGATCCTGAACAAAACTGTTCAAAACCCCATTAAATCTCGGTTGCTGCTTTTCCTGACAAACTGAAGTATGAAGGACAGGAGCAGCAAAAGTAACCTCAGAAGTCTGAAGGATGCTGTGCCTGCTCCAGATTTGAACAGTCTGGCTAATGAATTGTGGATGTGGAGGAAGGCAGAAGGGCTGAGCCTGGCCAACCTGCAAGAGCTACAAACAAGACCATCCACAGCCACCAATCATTTGCAAACCAGGCTCCCTTCGAAGACAGTGAATCTCAGCTTCCCAGTTTTGTGCT